ATTACAAGAACCTCCTGACCTTTGTCCTTCCTCTCCAGGGATTCCAGACTACCATCTGTATATATGTATATAACATCACTGTAAATAAATTCATTTTTCCTTTTTATCTGAGTCTTGCGTCGTTTCCGGGTCTCGTACTATCTGGGTGTCCTGAGCGTATGACACAGCTGAGACAAACTGGTGGGTTACTCCCATCCTTTCTTTCTCTGCAAGCAATGGCAACACGACACAGAACACCATCTGCTGCAGGAAGAAACCTTCTGAGCCAGAAGCTAAGAGGCCCTAGAGCATGACCTAGAGGAACGCCTATCTTCCGTCACCTTCCAAACTTAAAAAAATAAAGACAATTTGGTTAAACATTGAAAATAACTAAAAAAATTTAATATTACAAGATCTCATACAGTTTGTTAAAGCTCCAATTGCATGTTGAGACCTCTCAGCCACCACCAGAGCAAATTTTAGATCAATATCTGGAAAATTGACCTACAGTCCTTTTAGATTTTTCTAAAGCCAGTTGATTCAGAAGTGAGATGACTCCAAAGTCAATCAGTTGTAAAAGTGCATCTAGTGATTATTTGCTGAGAGTTTCATTAAAATTTACCAACTGGTTCATGGAATATTTTGCTAACAGACAGACAGAGTTGACTCCAGTAGGTAAAGGTTTTGTGCCATATGTTCGGGCTCTGAGTCTGTACTAGAGAAGCCTCACAGCAACTACTACACAAACTAGAGAAATTGCATTTCCTGCGAAAATGCAGTGTGAATGCTTATTGCAGAAGAGCTTGCTGAAAATAGCTGAAATTACCTAAAAAAAGGCAGAAATTTAGCTGAAATGACTGAACAAGCCTAAATCAGCAGAAAAAAGCAGAAAGAAGACATGTTTTCTAAATTAGGTTTAAGTAAGCAAAAATGAGCACAAAAATTAGCAAATAAGCTAAAAAAAAATAAAAAGAAATTAACTACAAAAAAGAGGTTGAAATTAGCTAAATAAATAAAAAATGCTGAAAAGTAGCTGAAAATGTAGAAAAAGGCCTAAACTACCAGAAGGAAGCAAAAAGAGCAGAATTAAGCTAAAATATTTGGAATTAGCTGAAAAAGCTAAAATTAGCCACAAAAAAACATATGAAAAGTAGCTAAAAAAAAAAGGGCAGAAAGAAGTTTTAATTACCAGAAGGAAGTGGAGAGGGCACATTTTTGCTGAATTAGAGTGAAAAAAGTTGAAATGAGTGCAAAAATGTGGAATTAGTTGAAAAAGCTATAAGTAGCTTAAAAGAGCTAAATAGTAGCTGAAATAGCAGGACAATGCTGAAACTTGCATAAATAAGCTGAAATTAGCAGAAAGAAGTTAGAAGAAGCACACAAATGTTGTAGTTAGCAGAAAGGTGCACAAAACAGCTGAAATTAGCTGAAAATGTTCACATTTGAAGCTGAAAGAAGCTGAACCAGAAGAACATATGTGAAAGGAGCAGTAAAAGGTTGTAAACAAACGAAAAAAATTGCAGAAAAGGCTAAATATTTCAAAAAGCTAAAGTTGCACCAAAACCAAAATTCATAGCACCCATCTCCTGAAAGAGCTGAACGTTTTGATTTGATATAATGAAACAGCACAAAAACTGTGGAACACGACAGATGCTGAAAAAAATACGGAAGAAAAATGGGTCACAACAGTGTGAATCAGACAAATATCAGCTGTCAAATCCAAGGAGTTTCATCCAGTATTGTGTTTTCCATATTAAACTGTCTTTGGCAGCCATCTTGAATTGAAATGATTCCAAAAGTTAATCAGTTGTAAATATACATGAAATGATTGTTTGCTGCAAGTTGCATTACAGTCCGTTCTCTGGTTCACGAGATATTTTGCTAACAGACAATTAATGGAGCAGAGCGGCCTGTTGGCTCATTCAGAGCATGCTTCATGTTTGTTAAACTAATGAAAGCGCGAGTTAAACGTGACTTCCAGCACTTGTTGAGGGTGTCAGACTGCAGTCTAGACGCGCTCATGAAACATGCACGAGGAGAAGCAGGTTGAACCGACTGACCGCTGCTGCGCTCGCGCTGCTCCGGGATGGGGGCGGCAGCCTCGGGCTCCACTCTGCGCCGGCACCGGCCCTGGCCGCGCACCAGCTGCTCCAGCGGCAGCTCCGAGTCGGGCGTCGGGTAGCACCGCAGACCGGCTGTGCACCTCGGCGTGTACACGCCGCACGTCTCGCCCTCCTGCCGGGCGCACGCGGGGCAGCACCCGCAGCCCGGCTCGCGCACCATCTCCGCGCACGTCTCTGCGATCCGCGGGCACAGCGCCTGGCGCTCCGCGGTGCAGCCCGGGCAGCGGAACACCATCTCGGCCAGCGAGGCGCCGGCCAGAGGCGGGGAGAGGAGGAGCAGCAGGAGGCTGCAGCCGGAGAACCGCAGCATCGTCCGGGAGGCGCTCATCGTCATGGGAGCGATGGAAGGAGATCCCAAGTGAGGGGAGAGGAGAAGTGTGCAGCGAACAGGTGAAGCCAGGGGGAGGGCTGCTGGGTCCTACAAGTTCCCAGGTTTGTGTGAAGGTTTCTAAAATATTCTCTGAGGTCCATTCTTTCGGTGGCCCTGAGGTGTTAATGAACAACATTTGAAAAAACAGAGTTAGATTTGAAAAAAAAAAAAAAAACACACAGCAAAAACACAACAACATTTGAAAAAACGGAATTACAATTGAAAAAACACAATTACATTAAGCCAAAGCGGAAGTGGCCAAATCGGAAGTGGCCAAAGCGGAAGTTGCCCAAGCGGAAGTGGCCAAAGCGGAAGTTGCCAAAGCGGAAGTAGCTGGAATCACATTTGGAAAAAAAAAAAACAGAATTACATTTGAAAAAACTGAATTACATTAAGCTAAACCACTTCAGGGCCACCGTAGTTTTATGTTAATAAAGTAAAAAAAAAACTAGCACCACCACTTCCGCTTTGGCTCAATGTAATTCTGTTTTTTTCAAATGCAATTCCATTTTTTTTTTTTTATGTGATTCCGGCCACTTCCGCTTCGGCCACTTCCGCTTTGGCTTAATGTAATTGTTTTTCAAATGTAATTCTGTTTTTTCAAATGTTGTTGTGTTTTTGTTGGTTTGTTGCATTTTTTTTTTTTTTTTCAAATGTAATTCTGTTTTCTCAAATGTTGCTCATTTACACCCCAGGGCCACCGTACATTCTTCTGCTTGGACACAACTGTTCATCAGCGTTTGCGCCATTTCAGCAATAAATCAAAATGGTCAGCTCATCCTGAACGATCCAGCTGACACTTTTAGTTTTTGTAGAATTTTTACTTTTTGGACTGTTTAGTTTATTTGGCCGTGTTTTTTTCACTGAAAATGAAGAACGTTCTTCAAACTCTTTGAGATGTTCAAAACCTTTTTCAGCTTCTTTGTGCTCAATAGTTTGCCAGCTATTGCTCTGCTCCTTTCAACTTCTTTCTGCTAAATTCAGATATTTTTTTTCCTGCTTTTCCAGCTGCTGCTGTATTCATAGCTACATAGTTCATGTTCGGCCAGCTGTTTAATATACAGTATTATATTATTTTACATTATTAGTAGTGTATATCTTAGTTTATATCTTAGATCCTTGTGTACTGTCTCTTTGTATACTTTATATTTTTGCTATTGTTGGATAACTGGGACCTTGAGTGCACAATTTCATTCCACCTCATGTACCACATGTGATGTGAATGACAATAAATGAGCTTGAACTGCTTTTTTTTTTAAAAAATGATGAAACCACCTTGTTAGTCTGGTTTCAGCTTCTTCAGTAGTTTTCAGCAATAGTCGTTCACACTGTCACAAGGGCTGAATATGAACAACACAGGAAGGCAAATTCAGTGCTTTTATTTACAGTGAATAAATCAGAGGAACCCTGGGGAGCAAGGAGAAGGGTCAGCACTGACGTTCAGCAGGGATAGTACTGATTATATTTTCTTCTGGTTCTTACTTGTCAGCAGAGCTTAATTTATAAACTGATTGATGCTGGAACTGGAGGCAGGGGGTGTCCTCCTGAATTTCTTGAATAAATTAGATGTGATTTCCTGCATTTTGGTGTACAGTAGTCTTGCTACTTCACGGTTTGTTTTTCACGGACTCGCTCTATCGCAATTTCCCAAAATAAGATTGGACATGACACACAACTGGCTGATTGATGGATGAGCCACACGATCGGCATGGCATTTTTATTTAAAAATAAATTATTTTAAATTATTTAGCACCTGCTGCACCTGTGTGCAGCCCATAATGCAGGAGAAGCTTCATCCTGCAGCCTGTCATGATCTCCGCTCTGAAGTGCAGAAGTGGGCATGGCTGAGAGCGCTGGCAGGTCGAAGAGAGCCGAGATCATGACATGCTGTGCTCTCTTAGCGCGTTTAGAGTTTAGAAACATTGTTTAGAATACTGAAAGAGTGTGTGAAGGGTTTACAACGCCTTATATATATATATATATAAACTACTACTTACTTCTTGTCCTACTATTCCTACTTTGCAGTTTTTCACTTATCGCAGGGCTTCAGGGTACGGATCCCCTGAGATAATCGAGGGACTACTGTATTTAAATTAGGGATGGGGCCGTTCCGATTCAGTATCGGTATAGGCCTCCGATACCAGCATAATTTACGTATCGGATTTTCCGATCCAACCTGCCATTATTTCCGATCCATGATGCATGTTGGCTTCAAACTATGGAATGGATTTCCTGAACGGAGGCGTGTCTCATGAACTCAGAGTAATAAGACCCGCCTCACATTCAGGAAATCCATTTCATAGTTTGTAGCCAGCTACAGCATGAGGACTGAGTTAGCAGCACTGTTGCTAACAGCTAACCAACTTTTCATCTAAACGTCCGCTGTGTGGAAATATTTTACACTAGAAACACCACAAAACAAGACAGCAACGTGCAATGTCTGCAGAGCCATAGCACCACATTAAACCATGGTAAAGTTAGTTTTACGTTGGACATTTGAGCTCCGTGGCTTCAGCGGGGCGCTACTCTTGCTCAACCCGAAACAGGCAACTCGACCCCGGCCGCGTTCAATCTGCCCCGCTTAGTCTGCCCGTCTCTGAGGAGGGGCAGACTGAGAGCGGCTTACCGAAATCAGGCTGCTTGTTGCAGATTGCCACAACAAGAGGAACACATCGCTGAAGCCGAGCCGGAGCTCGAATGTTTACAGAGAAGTTGCTAAACTTCATCATAATTAATGACCAACCACTATCAGTTGTAGAAAACGAAAGATTTCACAGCTTGATACTTGCAGCCAAGATATAGTTTACTCTCCAGGAGATATTTATCAGTACAACAGTAGACAATGTTTCAATGTTGATGTGTTCATGCGTGCACATCCGCTCACACAGACTCATGTTCATGTTTGTGCTGATGTTCAATGTTTATGTTATGAGTGCTTAGTGTATATTTAGTTTATGTTTTTCTTAGTTTGTATCTTAGATGTTGTTACTGTTTTTCTTATACATTTTATTGTTGGATGTAACTGGGACCCTGTGTACAAAATTTCGCTCCACCACATGTACCACATCAGGTGCGAATGACAATAAAGA